AATTTAAAGTGTGGTTTATCAGCTCGATCCCTGTAGGATTTTAGTTTTAATTTTAGTATTGCAACCACGAGTTGGTGGTCTGAGGCTGCATCTGCACCTCGTATCTAGATCTATAAAGGGCCTAAATTAAAAATAATAATGCCCAATTTTATGAGCTGCACTGCATTACAGTTTTAGTTATAGGCAACTATAATAGAAAGAAAAGTTTAACACAGAAATATTAACACTTTCATTAATGTGGTAAGAATTTATCAAAGGATACGTCAACTTCAGTAAACATTTTATAAATAAGAATACTGTGAAATGTCTATCTTTGAGTTTTAGCACATCTCAACACTTTTCATCAGAAACATTACAAGAACCAAAATTTTCGAAATTAATAATAACATTTTTACCATGTCATACACGGACATAAATCCAATGTTTTTGGCAAATCGTTAAGTATCTTGATCATATTGTGCTGTATTTGTAAGTTCTAACTCTATACATTACCTGTACAATATGTATACTAGCATTCTTATTACTAATCAATATTTTTATAGTAGCAACAAAGAAGTACAATATATTAGCCTGTAGTTAATCATCATAGTCTAATGGCGCTGTACCGTATTCAAGTTCACTATTTATAGTTTTCCTCTAGCTATGTTTATTTTACTTGCATGTTTGTAATTTTTACATTCTGTAGTCTTAATATATAAAGTTTCATGGTGGTATATGGAATAGCAACCTAGTTGTGCAGTCTGGAAATCCTCTTAGACACTTAGTCTCTTATGGCAGTCATTATAGAACAGTGCCACACCCCTTAATTAGACTTCATTATTTCTAGTTACCTCTTTTCTAATTTTTATTTTATTTGTAGACTTCTATTGCCTATATCTTTGAGTACAAATGTGCAAAGTTTTATCATTATATATTTAATAGCAACATTGGTATGCAAGTTTAAAGCCAATCACACGTCTCGAATGCAGTTTACAATGAAACATAAGTTATACACCTAACTTTGAAAATTCATATAAAAAAAGACTATTAGGCCTAGAATGATAAATTTGGTATATTTATAAATGGGGCATATTAGGGCCTATAGGATTAATCTGGGTCCATTATTATATCATTCTATGTTAATTAGGAAAAATTTCCCAATATGCCTAGATTTAACCCTTAAATGTGGTTTAATATTCAATTATCTTTAGTATTTTAGTAGAATATGCAAAAATATATTCATATTCAAGCCCATATTTATTAGTTACCTTACCCCTACATTACTAGCGAAGGCGGAATTGTTTGCGCTAAAACGATACATTACCTATCGGCGGTAATCTATCGTTTTAGCGTAATCAATTCGGCTGCAGTAGAAATGTGCGGGAGAGGTAACTGATGAATATATTTGTTTAAATAAGTATAATTTAAGTCAAATGTTACAAAACATAACAGATAATTGATTTAATATAACAATCACTGACCAAAACAATTTAAAATATCATGAAACTAACTTTAAACAAGGTGTTTGAGATAAATGTTAGCAGATAAAAACAGCGGCCATCTTTCCAAATAAAATTTAGAGTAGTTTCCCTTGATACACTTGTCTATTCGTATGTATATTGTGTTGATTTTGTTGTTGAATATACATAGCTGTCTTGTTTAATAAAAGTGGGACAGAGGGCCGTCTTCTTATCTTTAATTTCAATTGAAATTAAGGCTATTCATGTATGTACATCCAAGATCTCAAAAACTTTTGGGAGGTCCAACATTTATTAAACCCTTTTGTACTGATTAACTTGTCAATTATTAGGTCGTCCATATTCTTCATAAATGACGTTGGACTCAAAATATGGGACGGTGTAAAATATTTTTTCAAAAATGATGAAGAATATATTCGTGTTCGTTAGAAATTGTGATTAAGGGTTCGGGTATAGTAGAACTGCGATATGATATTAAATCATCATCTTGCTTTTAGTAACTATTGGGTGAGAGGGAAATCGTCGGGAAAAGTAAGACGTCATTTATGGGCGATCCATTTAATTAAGCCTAGTTGTTTTTTTTGTCTGTAGACATTAGTCTTAGGCCTACACCTTTTCTGAATTAAGATTATTGTGTTTTTTAAAATAGGTTCAAATTTTAATTAGTTACATTTGAATACCACATGGTTTGGTTTTTTTTGGGTTTTTTTTTCCTTCTGCTATCATTAGTTTTTTTTATTTCTTCAGTAGTCAATGTTTACCCCTCCCCACCACACATTATTACAACAACAAAAAACTACCCACTATATATGTCATAGCGTAGATATATAGAATTAGACTAGACGAGTAGAGGTTACCATAGGACGGTACGAACTTGACAGTAGACGATTTGGTGCGAGAGTATTGTGCGCGTGTTCAATAAAATTTGTGTGGCGTGAGTGTGACGTGAGCATGGTGCGACAATGTACCGATGACGTAAGACGCAGCAGTGAAGTTAGTTGGGGGTTAGATATAGTAGAAGACGGACGTATTTTTTGATATTGTACAAATGATCTATAAGTGTGTGTTAATAAAGTTCATGTTATTTCATAAACGAAGTTGTTGACATTGTTAATTAGTGTCTGCGGAACATAAGAGTGATTCCCGTCCTCCTCACGAGTATAATGGTTGCCGTATGAATAGTAGTAGATCAGAATATATTGAGATTATATATAAATCCCCCCCCCCCCCCCCATCACAATATAGTGATATCTCCCTCTAGAAAAAAAAAACTAGATGAACCTATAGTTCGTAGGAAAATTAGAATCTATCACTTAAAAAAAAGAAATACGTCATTTTTCTAAACCACGCCGTTTCATCCCCCAATAAGCACAACGTCACAACAGTTCGCGGCGCGTGTGACGTCATTTGTCATTAGGCTAATGTTTAAGAAAGAGATACCGCGTAATTAAAAAAAAATCAAAACAGGCACTAAATGACTATGACGATGAGACTAGCGACATTTAGCCTGACGAATAGATCTAAATGACTTTAGTTCGGTGAATTATATTGGTGTTTAATTTATTACAGTGGCATGATGTTCTCCCTCTACTATACAAATTCACGTGCTTTTAATTTCTGCAACATGCTGCCCTGAGATGTTCGGCTCTAAAATGCCCGTGACACAGCGGCTTCGGTAAATGCATTTAGGCTCCCGGTCCCACCTATAAACGTCTGTCCATTAAGCGCCACGCAAAACGTGTGATTAATATGTGGATATAAGCGGCGCTAGTGGTGGTGTCAACAGGGGCCAAGCTCAGGTCTTAAGCTAAAGGTGCTCCGCACTTCATAAAAGACAAAATTGATGTTCAGATATCGTCGGACTCTGGCGTTTTGCCGACGGCCGTACTCCTAATGCACAGTCTTAGAGGCTGTCCACTGCTAACACTATTTTATGTTAAATTTAAGCCAATACTGAGCTGTGGCTTTACATTAGCTCAGTGGCGTAGAGAGGTCGAGTGTGACCCGGTGCGGCACTTAATGGTGTCTTGGACTCTTGTCGAATATTGTTGCCAGGAGCTACTTGGTTTGAGCCTTATTGTCAGAAGTTATTTCCTTTGGAGTCAATATAGTGCGGCTTATTTTCGTCGGTAGGCATTTAGTGGCAGGCCCTTTTTGGCGGGGATGATGTGCTCAGGTTGTTAAACACCGCTTAGGACAACAGGCATGCAATAGTTATGATCATTCGTTATGAACAAATGTATGCATGAAAACGAACGCTTTATGTGTTCCTCAATTTCATTGAGCACAGCTTTAAAGAAAATTCCAAAATAGACGTCACGTATCCCCCCCCCCCGGACCACCCTGCGTAAGTTGACGGCACATTAGCATAGCATATGTGACATCGTTTATGGATAACACCATATAACTCATTTTGGGTATTTGGTATCAACATTTTGACAACAAAGGTTATTCAAAATGTATATAGGACTTGACATCTACCATAAATGACATCGCACACTTAAGGGGTGGAGTAACTGGTTTTGAGACGACGTTTTACGCGGGAAATGGGAGGGGTAAGAAACGTGAAACGTTATGTATTTCGCCAAATACAAAAATGCTGAATATATCGTTTTCATTAGAATTATGGCTTGACTTTTTAACAGGCAGGGCAAAAAGGTAATTTTCGACATTACGACTATTTCGTAACGGCGAAAATGAGGGGGGGGGGGGGGGGGGGTTAAGGTGAAGAAAGGTCAAAAAAAACGGGACGTCATTTATGATTAAATCACTAATTAAAGGAAAAAAGCATGAAAATATTACATGAAAATAGCAAACAAACAATAACACAAACAATAAGAATTAGCTCAAACTAATATTTAAATAAACATTAGATATGTAGTGGTAGCTCTATAAAAATAGGGAGTATCTTAATGTGTAAAAATTGCATCTCATAATAGTAATTCTAGAACTGATGTTTATTGTCAGTCAATTAAATTGTTTAAAAGGGCAGAATTTAAAAAAAAAAAAACGCATGCTTTGTATTTAAACACAAGACTAACGTATTTAATAGCAAACATCAATACATTTCCATACAAATAGAAATTAAAGGGAAATGACTCAAAATAATATTTTCTTAAGATGGCCGCTGTTTTTAATAGCAAATTTAGTATCTGGAACATCGATGTTAAACCTTAATTTCATGACATTTTTATTGATTTAAACCTTAAATGTGGTTTAATAATCAATTATCTTTAGTATTTTAGTAAAATATGCAAAAATATATTCACATCTAAGCCATATTTGATAGTTACCTTATCCCTACATTACTAGTGACGGCCGAATTGATTACGCTAAAGCGATAGATTACCCCTATCGGCTATATGCAGAGTTTATTATCTGATGTAGGTATCTAAAATCACTCATTTTTTAGGCTTGAATCTAGGCCCTACCTACTCTTATTAGATCTAGTAAGCCAGTAGCCTAATTATTTAATATTTAATATTAGGCCTAGGCCCTAATAAATAATAATGCCTAATAATTATTTATTCTGCCCCTGCTTACCTTTTGATTTGGTGATGAAAACCAGACTTCACTGAATTTTAATACAATCACATAATCACCATCGCGGTACACAGGGATATCGTAGCCAAATGTGCTGATGTGGTACCGTTCAGTTTGATAAAGAATTTGATCTTGCGGTACTACTCTTTGAATCATAAGACTCTTACCAAAGTCGGAGCGGTGTCCTATATCTAACGGATCAGCTTGATAGTGAATTCCGTGAATGTCGGTGTGTTCGTCTCCTCCGCAATTTACAGCCCATAATACTTCTATCGCGTTAACCGAATGCAGCAACTGGCTAACAATAACTATCGCAGAGAAAATTACGTACTTCTTTTGAAAACATATTTTTAAAAAGTGTTTAACACAATTAGTTAAACAAAACATGTTCATCTCTTATGCGGCGTTGATACGGTGTAAAGTTAGTAAGTATCGAACCTATAAATATACTCGATATGAGTATCTAAATTTCTAGTCTTATGTGTTCGATTTTTTTCAAAATATATTGTCGAAAAATTTATAAAGATCAATTAAGTAGATATATTATAATATTTATTCACAGTCACGATCCAGTTTTGTAATCAGAATTTTAAAAAAATATATAAACATTCTGATTAAATGTATTGTAGTCCCTATAGTCTACATATGACAAACAAGTACTTAGGCCTACTGGAATAAATAATCGTATTTTATTTCAGGAAGTATAATTGTTTTACAACACGCATGCGTATTTTCATGTGGCTATTGACGTTTCGTTCTCCCGGCGACACGTTTTTTTTTTGTTTTTTTTAATTTTTATCTAAAGCAAAAGCGTTATTCAGCATACGCAGATCACATTTAACAATCAAGAACATCTAGATCTAACCATTTTTACAAGCTTTTATTTAACTTGCTTACTCTGTCTAGATCGAAACAGGAGAGCGAAATTTCGGGCATTTCTAACCGATCAACTTCTCTGAAATTTGACACGTGTGTCAAGGCCCGATGACAATGCAATATGACATTAAATTTGATTTAATTTGATGACAAATAAATTTTTTATGAACTAATTAAAATTTTCTGAAATTAGTATGCTTTCTTGTCCATGTGGGACTGCAACTGTTGATGTTATACTATGCAAGCTTTTATTTAGTTCGCTAGATGGTAGATTTAGGATTGGGGGGGGGGGGAGGAGGGGGAGTCACAGAAATAAAACGGGAGAGATCTCCCCTAAACTATCTCGAATATTCTTATATAACACTACGGGAGATGGCAACTCGGGACATAGACATGATTTTTTATCCATTTTTAATTACTTAAACTTTTAAAAATAGAATAGAATCTCGTAGAAAAAAAGAATTTAGCACCAAGTGAACTCCAAACAATCTGTATAATAGTGCGGAATATTATTAGTACTATATAAATTCACATGCGTTTTTTTTTAGAAATAGGAAATAGTGTGAATTACTACTTCCGATCAACGGAAATTACTAAAAATTTGATAGAAGGCAGAGAATTAGATATTTTGCTTATTTTTAAAAATTTCGTTTATCAATCTGAAATAGTAGTCAAAACCAAAAGTAGAATAAGTTCCACTTCCGGTTACCGGAAATCGTTGGTAAGTTGAAACAGAACTAGAAATTTGATATGATAATTATATAAGAAATTTCATCAACATAGCTGTAACGGTACTGAAGTTATCGTGTTTACAGACACATACACACAGACATACGGACAAGATTGCAAACTATGTTTTTCCAACTCAGGGTGGTATAAAACGTCGAGATTTGAAAAGAAAATTCGATTATTTTTTTTTTGCACAATTACAAGACTTTCTCTATACTTCGTATATACGAGAAAGTAAAAAAGTCACAATTGTGTACTTGCATGGAATATGTTAATACTTTTATGTAATATTCTAAATCAACTTACGATTAATTAAATGTAACTTAATCATTTTATATATATATATATATATATATATATATATATATATATATATATATATATATATATATATATATATATATAGATATATAGATATATATAGATAGATATATATATACTAGCTGCATCCCGTGCTCCGCCACGGTAAATCTTTTTAAAATATACCAATTTTGGAACAGAACAAAACAAACAAAAACACAACACAAACAAAACACAACCACAACACAACCACATTACAACCACAACACAATCACAACCACAACACAACCACAAAACAACCACAACACAACCACAACACACGGTAAATCTTTTTTAAATGTACCAAGTTAGGAACAGAACACAACTAAATACAACACAAACGAACGCAAAGAAAAAACAAAAACGAAAAAACAAACACAACACTTAACATAAACTCAATTTAAATGTAATCATAAAGGCATGTTGCTCACAGTCTATCCCGTAGCGCCAAATCGCGCCCTTTCCGAGCGCCGGCGGAAAATTTCGATTTCCACCCTTTCCCCCCCCCCCCCTCTTGCTACGCCTCTGTTATAAAACCCCTAGCTTTTCCGCAAATAAATTAAAGGCAGTATTTAGAATATCCGTGTTTTACCGACCATATTGCACTTTATAAATTCATGCATTTTTTTCAGTACTTTTAAAAATTTACAATAAAGTATCATGACTAAAACCATTGTGCACCTAATGAACGTGATGACTTAATATAATAATGGAGAATAGTTGATAAAAAATTATAATTAGTAAACAGCACATTCTGTGAATAAAATAAATAAAAGATAGCCTTTTATCAATCAATGCTAATTATAATATTCCAACAATAATGTACTCTTACACGTCTGCATAATTTGCATTCACATTTTGCTAATTATATTATTCCAACAATTATTCCGTCTTGCAGATTTTGCATTCACATTTTTAGCGTGAGTTCAATTTATTTTTAAAATACCTCCCTTGGCAAAAGTACTAAACAGTTTAATTAGATTTTTCTAACCTACTGTTATTATTTTATTAAAATGTATCCACTTTTTCAAGGAATATTAACGAAAACAATATTTGGCATTGATCCTTTTAATATGTTTTAGCAATGTGCGTGTATTTAATATTCTCTTTATGTTATGCAAAATTGTACAAACAGTGGAAATTATAAAATAGATCTATGCCGTTATATAAACAAACCCTACTCTATAACTTGTAATAAGACACTGCGGTGCACTGAAAAGCACAGCATGGTGCGAAATTTACTTTTATGGTTTCAAAATCTATAGCGATGACAGACTGACACACGCTCAGCCCGCTTATATTATAGACTAGCTGCATCCCGTGCTCCGCCACGGTAAATCTTTTTTAAATGTACCAACTTGGGAACAGAACAAAACTAAACACAACACAAACGAACGCAAAAAAAAAACAAAAAAACAACGAAAAAACAAACACAACACTCATAACATAAACACAATTTAAATGCAATCATAAAGGCATATTGCTCACAGTCTAGCCCGTAGCGCCAAATCGCGCCCTTTCCGGTGATTTGCACCCCCTCAAACTTTCGATTTGCACCCCTTCCCCCCCCCCCGCCCTAAAACTTTCGATTTCCACCCCCCCCTCTCGCAAATTTTTTCCAACCCACTTTGGCGCCCCCTAAGGTCGGCACCCGGGGACATATGCCCCCCCCCCCTCGCTACGCCTCTCCTATAAAACCCGAAAGATAGAATAATAATTACAAAACAGTATAAATAATAGGCAGTATTTCAGAGGCGTAGCGACCCTTCCCGGCGCCCGGGGACAAACTTTCAATTTGGCGCCCCCTTCGGTAGCAAATTTTTTGAATTTGCACCCCCCCCCCCCCTCAAACTTTCGATTTGCACCCCCCCCCCCCCTAAAACTATTTATAATGCAAAAATGCAGCTAAAATGACGTTTTAAATTGTTTTTAAAACCCATTTTGGCGCCCCCTAAGGTCGGCGCCCGGGGACATATGTACCCCCCTGCCCCCCCATCGCTACGCCTCTGCAGTATTTAAAATATCCGTGTTTTACCTACAATATTTCACTTTATCCATTCACGCATTTTTTTTTCCAGTACTTTAAATTTTAAAAATTTACAAAAGAGTTTAATAACTAAAACCATTGCGCACCTAATGAACGTGATGACGCGTCTTTAATAGTGCTGAATAGTTGATTAAAAATTATAAGTAATAAACAGTAGGGCCTACATTCAGTGAATAAAATAAATAAAAGATTGCCTTTTATCAATCCATGCTAATTATAATTTTCTAACAATAATTTCCTCTTACACATCCGAATAATTTGCATTCACATTTTGCTAATTATATTATTGCAACACTAATCCCTTCTATGACGAACGTATATTTGCATTCACATTTTTTATTAGCGTGAGTTTAAATGTATTTTTAAATTACCTCCTTTGTCAAAATTAGAAAAGAGTTAAATTAATTTGATTTTTCTACCCTACTGTTATTATGTTAATATAATGTATCCACTTTTTCTGGGAATATTAAAGAAAACTATATTTGACATTGATCCTTTTAATATGTTTTAGCAATGTGCGTGTATTTAATATTCTCTTTACGTTATGCAAAATTGTACAAACAGTGGAAATTATAAAATAGCTCTATGCCGCTATATAAACAAACCCTACTCTAATACTTATAATAAGACACTGCGGTGCACTGAAAAGCACAGCATGGTGCGTAGTTTACTTTTATAGTCCCAAAATCTATAGCGATGACGGACGGACGGACGGAAGGAAGGAAGGAAGGAAGGAAGGACAGACACAGCCCGCTTATATTATAGATATATGCGTGGGTTGTATATGTTACGGTCAAAGCCCGAAGTGCGGCCAAACCCCGGATTGGCCGGCCAATGCGCGGATTGGCCGGCTCTCTTGGCCAAAGCCCGAAGAACTTAGAACTAAGATCGTATTTCGTACATTGGCCGGCCAATGCGCGCACTGGCCGGGACGTACTGGCCAAAGTCCGAAGTACTTAAACTTGACAGCATATTTTGTACATTGGCCGGCCAATGCGCGCATTGGCCGGGATGTCCTGGCCAAAATTTCTGTCATTTACTTTAATTAATAATCAATAAAGACTTAATTTCATGATCCTACCGGCATAAAAAAAAACAAAATCTGCTCATGATCTTCTAATTAAGACTTTGGCCGGTCCACCATGGCCAGTCCGCGGACTGGCCGGGACTGGCCGGCCAAAGGCCGAAATCAAGAGCTATTTCAGACTTTGGCCGGTCCACAATGGCCAGTCTGCGGATTGGCCGGCCAAAGGCCGAAATGAAGCAAAGTTTCGGACTTTGACCGACCTATGGGAGGCGATATTGGCCAATGCGCGGATTGGCCGGCCAATCCTAGCATTGGCCGACTTCGGGCTTTGACCGTAACATATATATATATATATATATATATATATATATATATATATATATATATAAATATGTATTTAAATATGTTTTATTTATTGATTTTTTTTTAAAGCTAAACAATTTGGGTTGAACTTCGCCCTCTTTTTTTTTTAATGTATAGGGAAATGAGTGTAATGTGTTTGCTGACACAAAATGTAATGTTTTCACTGTCACCAAATGTAATATTCTTGCTTCTATCAAATGTACTATTTTTCTTCTCTTCTCGCTCTCAGTCACAGACAATCAAAACTGATGAAGAATAAGTCGTCTTCTGCAAATCTTTATTTGACCATCTTTCTTGACCGGTAATTGTCTGTGTGTAGCGCGCATCTAACAAGACTATAGCGCCAACACGTGTGCTGCATAAATTCACAAATTATGAATTACTGAAAAGTAGAAAAATAAAACAACTAAATAGCGGCGTATGATACGCCGCGGGTCGGCTCGTAACTTTTAATAGTAATTGATCAAAATACTCTATGTTGACAGTTTTCTGACAATATTTTGGAAAAATATCGATGTTTTAAGAAAATTTCAACATCTATTTTGAGGGGGGTTGTAGGCAGAGGTGTGACCAGAGGCGTAACGATGGGGGGGGGGGAAGACGACGACGACAGGGGGGACATTTGTCGACCTTAGGCGGCGCCAAAATGGGTTGTAAAAAGTAATCGAAAGTTTGAGGGGGGGGGGGGGGTGTGCAAATCGAAAGTTTGAGGGGGGGGGGGGGTGCAAATCAAAAGTTTGAGGGGGGGGGATGGAAATCAAACGTTTGAGGGGGGGGTGCAGATCGAAAGTTTGTACCCGGGCGCCGGGAAGGGTAGCTACGCCTCTGGGTGTGACGTCATTTTAGGGGGGGGGGGGTCTGGCTTTTTGTGACGACATGTGACGGAGGGGAGGGGGGGGTAAAAATCGTCGAAAAAACGTGACCTCATTTATGGATGACCCCTATGATTAAGTTGCACTTGACTTTATTTTTATTTCAACGGTCAAATGAACTATGTTTTACAGTGACGAATGTTACCGAAGCTCAACAAACAGATTATTTCCGACGCTTTACCGTGAGATTACCTTGGTCTAGATCAGATCTAGTACTTAACGCTATTTCCGATTTATAAAAAAAACGCATATTTTATAAAGTACTTAAAAATAAAATAAAAAATAAAATAATAGTGCGCATTTATTTTTCTACTAAATTCTATTCTATTTTAAAAAGTTTAAGTGGTCAAAAATTGAAAATCATGTCTCTATCCCGAGTTGCCATTCCCCGTAATGTTATACAAATTATAATAAATACAAGCTTAGGCCTAGATTAGTATATTATGCGAGAAAGTTCAGGGGAGGTTACTCCCGCTTTATTATCATTTGTGATTGTGTTTATGATTTGTCAATTAGCCTTTTTCCTTAAAAAAATATTTTTTCCAAGTGAGATTTATTAAAATGTTAATGCTTTCAATTAAAAGCTTTTTTTAAAAAATTATTTAATTAGACTACTGTCCAAAACTGTTTGTGTTGATTTTTCTCGTTGCTAATACAGCTAAACAACTATACAATTTTACAATTAACCTGCCCATGAAGGCCAAGGTTGTCCGGTACTGCGCAAACTCACTGAGAAAAGACCCGTATCAACGCAGGCGCAGTTACCCGTCCGACATTTTGCGCCAAGTTATCACGGTAACTGGAAAAAATAAACTAATCCTTTAGACGCAGCTTTCATACAGATTGAACTAAAGGCATAAAAACATACTGAAAAATTCTGAATATTAGATCTTTGTAATTTGCGTTCCCCACATAATTTAGCTTAGATTTCCATACTTAATAAATTTTGTTTGTGTAATTTTTAGGACCAAGCTAGATCTAGATTATAGATTGATTCTACGGTAATCTATCGTTTTGGGTACGTAAAATCGCCCGCGACTAGTAATGTGAAAAACAGGTGACTCCTTAAATTTTAATAATTATTTCACATTTTGAGGAGGATTTATGTTTTGAAAAATACAAAAATGTTTCCTTCTTTCATTTATGTACCTGTTTTTAAACAATTGAATTAAAACTTTTCAGTAATAAATGAAGACTAGCGATATTTCCAACAGATGCAACCATGCTCATTTACTATAGCAGCCATCTTGTTTAAGTTTTTTTTATAGCGGATATAGCGCGAGACAGGCGGAAGTCACTCTATTTTACAAATGGCTGCTGTTTATATAGCAAATCTTGCTCGCAAACACTGCTGTTTAAAGTTAATTTCTGGCATATATTGATATATTTAGCCATTGATTTAGGTTTATTATTCATTTATCTATAATATTTGACACAAATATATCACAATATACTTCTACTAAAGCCTTGACAATGAGGTAACTTTTTCGTACATTAATAGCCGCGGGCGATTTTACGTACCCAAAACGATAGATTACCGATTCTACTTCTAGATTTAGTCTAGCTTCTAGATTCTAGATAGATTTCTAGATCTATATTATTAGATCTAGATCTAGTAGATATCTTAAATATCTAGATTCTATTTAGATCTAGTTCTATCTAGATCTAGTAATAGACTCTAGGGTAATCTATCGTTTTGGGTACGTGAAATCGCCCGCTGCTATTAATGTACGAAAACGTTACGTTACATCATTGATTCATTGTCAAGGCTTTAAAAAAAATTAATAGATCTAGAAGTATTATTTTGTGATATGTTTGTGTCAAATCTTATAGATACGAGGTGTCTACTCCGAAGAAAATATTTCTCCCCAACGTCTCCACTAAGTCGGCAAAAGATAGCTCTGCGCAGTGACCTAGGGTTACGGCTAGAATGAGGGTTAGGGTTAGGGATAGGATTAAGGCTGGAGTTAGGGATAGGATTAGGGTTGGTGTTAGGGTTTTGCAGTTGTAAACACACGCATGCGCAGTACAATCGAAAACATCGCCGCGAAGGCAAGTCGTAGTTTCTCTGCGTTTCGCATGCGTATCTAATTCCGGCTAGCATCGGCCTTATAGATAAATGGATAATAAACCTAAATCAATGGCTAAATAATATATAGGCCAGAAATTAACTTTAAACAGCAGTGTCTGCGAGCAAGATTTGCTATATAAACAGCAGCCATATGTAAAATAGAGTGGCTTCCCCCTGAATCTCGCGCTGTAAGTTCATAAAAAAAACAAGATGGCTGCTATAGTAAATGAGCATGGTTGCATCTGTTGGAAACATAGCTAGTCTTCATTTACTACTGAAAAGTTTTAATTCAATGGTTTTTTAAAAACAGGTACATAAATGAAACAAGGAAACATTTTTGTATTTTAAAAAACATAAATCCTCCTAAAAATGTGAAATAATTATTAAAATTTAAGGAGTCAACCGTTTTTCACATTACAAGTCGCTGGCGATTTTACGTCTGTGATTGAAAGCTCTAGTACTAGGCCTAAATAAATATTAACTGATTTGGTACAGATTCCTGATCATAAATCTATTTTCTTAGACACATTACATACATTTTAAAACAATTCTAAATTACAGAAATTATAGGGGAAACTTAACATGCCCCAGATTCTTTTTCTGGCAATTGTAAAAAAAACAAAAAAAAACTGGCCTGCTTTTTCAAATTAGAGAATGGGTATAGCTGTTATAGATTTTGAGATAATCTGAGCTAAATTCAGGAATTCATGAGGCTGAAAAAGGTAAACAAAAAAATGCATAACTTGTTTCTAATTGTCCCACAGACATAAAATTGGCATCCATGTTCTTAGAATTCTTAGCACTATGCAGAATAACCAAAGCCATTATTGTGTGACAGATTTTAAAATTCAGTTTGGAGTACCAAGTTTTAGCAAACAACAAGGCCATGTGTCTTGAAATACATGAAATGATGATTGATAACACACTGATGAAATCCTCTTAAAATGTTGTAGCAGTCTGAAACAATGTGTGGTATGGGTACTTTAGTCATAGTTATAAAAGCCCATGTGCGCAAATCTCTGTTCGTCAAACTTTGTCAGAGACCTAGAAGATCAGAATCTTAACCAATAGATGTAGAACTTTAATAGTTTGAGAAAAATTTGCTGGTTATAATGAATTGTTACGGGTCAGTTGTAGGCTAGACTAGAATAGGATAGAATGATCTAGAATTAGGGGAGAGTGAGTGTGTGAGTTGAGTTTACCCTAGAATATTGTTAACCCCGGTGTGTTTGTGTATTGTTATCCCAAGGTTGAATGCGGTATAAAAGCTGGAGTTAATGGTTGTCAGGGGTTAGTTGGTAGTGGTTAGGTCGAGGGCTATTCTGTAATGTGATATGTGAGACCTAATAAACGTATTGAACGTTAACCCGAGTTGTTCTTGAATTCGAATCTAACCTGGACGTAACAACTAACCCCTGACAACGCAGTCACAGTCTACGACGCGGAACCCATCCCAGATACAGATGAGCTGTTCGCTAAATTAAATAGGGCAAAATATTTTACTAAACTCACACACTCACTCTCCCCTAATTCTAGATCATTCTATCCTATTCTAGTCTAACCTACAACTGTTATATGAATGTATAAATATGAATGTATTAATTTAATTTATGGACAGAAAAATAAAAAAGATATATCCAAATGCAAAATCACACATTTAATTATGCAACCGGAGAAGTAATGCAATGTTTTTCAATATAACAGGAATTAGTTCTCTTTTAATTAATTATGCGTACAACCAAGAAAATACTTTATCAGCCAAAAAAATAATTATGTTTAGTTAAAAATTAAAAAAAAAAGATAATTGTGGTTTAAGTGAATTACTTGAGACACTGTATCAGTCAGGGCATTTGATTGGTGATTTTCATATTGGTATTTTATCTGAGATTGCAACATTGCACGACAGGTACTCAAGTGGTTTTGATATATTTCTTACTAATACTAATCACTCTTCTTGTGTATAGGTTGCAATCTATAGCTTATTTTAATAATAAATTGCTTAGTATACTTACAAACAATGAACTCACAATTAATTTTGTTTCTTTGTAGTCCCAACAAGCTTTGCTACAGCCACATAGCTTGGAAAATGTCAAATGCAGAATTATGGGATTTGGATACCAGTGGTGGTATTATGGAGGTATATAAAAATATATATTTTACAATTTCTTAAAATTAACAAGCCTAGAGTGCCATATGGTCATTTTGCCACTGTAAGATTTTAACCTTAAGCCATAAGATGAAATTAAGGAATTCTATTTAGCATTCTCCCAAATTTACAAATATTTTTCAGCAAATCCAAATGCTCATTGCACCACCTATTAGTGCTGATGCTTTAAGGAGATCACGTAGACGTAGAGAAAGGGAAGTTTACAGGCGTCCTGGTCGCTCAGTAAATCATGACTGTTGTGACAGCTGCAAGGAAGGTGGAGATCTGATTTGCTGTGATCGTTGTCCTGCTGCTTTTCATTTACTATGCCAGTGAGTCTTATGAAAGTGTGCCACAAAATTTCCTAAGATTACACAGTTTTTGTAATGTGGTCTTGTAAATGACACTAATATTAATTAAACTTACACGCATATAAAGGTGTTTGTGTATATCTATAAAGGATGTGACTTATCAGATTTTTAGAAGAAATTTTAGAGAAAAAGTTTAAAAGATTGGGGGGGAAAAACCGAAAGTATCCCTTCATTTCCAATATCTTTTTATTTGAATGATGCTACTAGATAACATTAAACCTAGGTCAATATCTGAAATTTTTTAGATCGCAAATTTTTAGTCAGAATTTTTTGCTATTTTCTGTTAAATATTTATTTAAAAATGCCGAAAAATGGAATAAAAAAATGTTGCCGCTCTTTAAATAAAAGTATTTCTCCTGATCCTAGTTTCTTTATTCATAATGTCGTATTAGTGTTAGCCTAGCTATGGCCTAATGTACCTACAGGTATTTTAACTCAGCCTCTGTCTTTTAAGCCTCCCCATGTTTCTCTCTGCCTTCAATGTTATTTCGCAACTTCAAATTAACAATGAAATCTTCATAAAAGTTGACTATGTGGACTAGACTAACCACCCCCTCCTTTTAGCAATGGTGGCTCTTGTGACCTCACATTGCCCCCTAAGTATGTGTTTGGTGCTGCTTGTTTTGGGAAAAAAAAGACTTCACGGTCAACCTCAAATAGTTATATTGTCAAGTTAGTACAAAACTATTAAAACGAACTTTATATGCACCCTTATTATACTGCGTTTACACCCTACGACATGTATACTATACATTTCTTAGAACACAAAGCCCGCCAAAAATTATTTTTATCTGGAAACATTTTGTTCACAGAACATGTAAACTTTAGCGTTCACACTTACAGAACATGTTATAGAACATTTTTGAAAATTTTGACCTGGAGCGTCTGCTATATAAGCCTAGATATTTAAAAGAAGAATAATCAAAGTAAAAAAATAAATAAAACATGGTTATAGTGGTCACGCAGATTTATTATTTATAGGAAAAAGGTGTAGTCATTGTGCCTACAATTCAACAATAAATTATCTAAAAATTAGAGAACATGCGACATTTAAGAAAGTTTATTGACGTGTCAGCAACTGAGCTAGAAATAATGTTAGTTCTGTATAAAGAAATAATGTTAGTTCTGTATAAAGAAATAATGTTAGTTCTGTATAAAGAAATAATGTTCTGTATAAAGAAATGTTAGTTTTGTATAATAGCACGGGTCTAAGACATTACCCACCTGCTACTACCTCACCCCCACCCCGCAGTACCTAACCTTCCCTTCCCACCCCCAATCCCATTGTCGTCATTTCCTCAGCTAGCTGTCGTTTACTATACTTTGTAACTGGAGAGTTTAGCTTTCTGATGTACCTTCTCATAATTTCCAAATTTAAAAAGTTATATTGCTTTAGAACGTACACCACTTCTTTGCGTGTCTACATCCTTCAGAAACAGCTTGTATGATTTGAATCAACAGGGCTAAATATTTGTCTGCTAAAGGGCCAGATTTCTTCGATAAATTTGCATCTGCCAAGTCCATTACAAATATTGAGATCTAGTTTAAACTATACTCACTAGTGAGACTCTATTTTAAACCTATTTAAATAGTCTATCACTTGTTATCTGCCTGTTTTTATAGTCGGCACTATAGTGTGATTAAACAAGCACTTCTGATAGGTCTATAGATTTATTTCTCTATCGATCAGACACTGGAAATATGTGGATACACTTCAAACAATGGGTCAAGGAAAATTGAAGAAAAACTTTCAACGAAAAGTTCGGTTAATATATTTTTATAATATATTTTATTTCTTCAATTACAAACTAGACTGGTTTAATAAAACGTGTTTGGGATTTAATTAAAGAAATAATAAGTAATTATTAAAAAATGTAATTTTTAAAGTGTGTGCTCAAACGCTCTAGATCAGTATGTTAATTATATTTTGGCTTTGCAATCAGCTGAGAGGATGCGCTTACTACGCATAGACGCATGCACACTCATCTGAAAATTCACAACATGTCCTATGTTTTCGCTCGGCGAGCAAGGACAAAAACTTGGCCCAGAACATAAAAAGGGGCGTGGTTTTGTGCCCTGCGACTCAGAATATGTTCCATTTACACACATGTTTAGTATACACCTAAGTAGGTCATGTCTAGTATACATGTCTTAAGAGTAAACGCGGTGTTAGACCATTTATACAAGAGCAATAAGTCATAAAGGTGGTTTGAAGGGTTGTCACTACAGCTCATGTCATGTTTTCTTCGCAACAATGTGCGTCAGTCACTGTAGAACACTCAGAACTGTAATCGATAAGTTTGTAATTTACAAAACCATTAGTCTATTAATATATTTTTTAAAAAATTGATGACGTCGTGCCCCCCCCCCGTTGGATTTTGTGCCCTCTTAATGGCCTGAAACTGCTGCTGATTTTTAATAACAGTCAATAGCATTAAAAAGCATAAATAAAAACGTGGCTTGGTTATACTATTTTTTTGTAAAATAAGTATACATTTCATTCATTAAAAATAAATAGAAATATAATATTAAACCAACCTATATTCATGTATATAGATGTTACATATAATATTTGTTTGGCCTTTCTCATAGCTTACATTCCTGACATTGCTGTAATTTGATAATTTTAAAAAATTACCTCAGGTAATTTTTAAATTCATTTTAAACAAAAGTGTACAGTGATGATTGTATCAAAGATTACATTTTTTGAAAATACAAAATATTTTGTCAAGACTGCATAATTATTGTCTCAACCTGTTTTCATGTAATTAAATATGTGTTAAGTAACTTTAACTATATGTATTTATTTATAAGAAGTGACAAGTGTAAGTTATTTCTGATTGTTGTAAACAATATTTTAAAAAGTCGTCATTGAGTACATTTTGTTTGACTGTAAAATGAGTTAATGGTATCCTACAATTACATTATGTAGTGATTGGAGCCCAGTAATCAACTAGACCACTGTATCCACCTAACAGGGTTTGTTCTATTGGTTGCTTGTGCTAAAAATGTTTTTTTACCAGTTTGACCTTAATTTGTTTCAAATTTCTGTTATTTAACGACTCATTTAGTGTAGAAAAATACTGACAGCTATTAATAAAAACTTCTGACAATTAAAATTAACAACAGATAATGTGAACAAGAAGAATATTACATGACAAATGAATGCACAGCAAGTACTAGAAAATATGGACGGAGTGGTCTAGCGGTAGAGAGCTGGACTGCTAACCCGTGAGTCTCGAGATCGAATCCGGGTTCAAGTCAGTAGACCGTCCTTGAGTCCACCCAACTCACGTTAGGGAAAGTAAAGGCGGCTGGGCATAGTGCTGACCACACTATCTCTTCATATGCCGAGGTCACAGAAACAAGTGAACTCTACTTCACTTGCCCCATAGACCGTCAGGTTTGAAAGGGAAACTTTACTTTACTTACTAGAAAATATATAGCTGAAATCTGCTTTTAGGTTTATTTTAATCTGCTGACTGCATTTGGTGTGTGGAAAATCATTAAAACTTTTTTTTACTGTTTCAGTGATCCACCACTTTCAGAAGAAGAACTGCCAACAGGCGAATGGTTGTGCCATAAGTGCAAGATTTCCCCGCAAGAGGTAATTAATGGTACCTTATTCATCAAAAAATTAAATGGCATAAAAGCCATACAGAAAATTTTATTATTTATATTCTACAAGATTTAACTTTTACCTTTTTTAAAATCTATATCAGCTTTTTGTTTGTTTTTATTTGAAGAAAATTGAAAGGTGATTTTTTTTTTTTTGTTGCCTGACTGTAAGGGTATAGCTGCTGGCCAATTTGGTCCTCACTGTACAGTATAGCTGCTGGCCAATTTTGTCCTCACTGTAAAGTATAGCTGGTGGCCAATGTTGTCCTCACCGTAAAGTATAGCTGCTGGCCAATGTTGTCCTCACTCTAAAGTATAGCTGCTGGCCAATGTTGTCCTCACTGTAAAGTATAGCTGCTGGCCAATGTTGTCCTCACCGTAAAGTATAGCTGCTGGCCAATTTTGTCCTCACTGTAAAGTATAGCTGCTGGCCAATGTTGTCCTCACTGTAAAGTATAGCTGCTGGCCAATGTTGTCCTCACTGTAAAGTATAACTGGTGGCCAATGTTGCCCTCACTGTAAAGTATAGCTGCTGGCCAATGTTGTCCTCACTGTAAAGTATAGCTGCTGGCCAATGTTGTCCTCACTGTAAAGTATAGCTGCTGGCCAATGTTGTCCTCACAGTAAAGTATAGCTGGTGGCCAATGTTGTCCTCACTGTAAAGTATAACTGGTGGCCAATGTTGCCCTCACTGTAAAGTATAGCTGCTGGCCAATGTTGTCCTCACTGTAAAGTATAGCTGCTGGCCAATGTTGTCCTCACCGTAAAGTATAGCTGCTGGCCAATGTTGTCCTCACTCTAAAGTATAGCTGCTGGCCAATGTTGTCCTCACTGTAAAGTATAGCTGCTGGCCAATGTTGTCCTCACCGTAAAGTATAGCTGCTGGCCAATTTTGTCCTCACTGTAAAGTATAGCTGCTGGCCAATGTTGTCCTCACTGTAAAGTATAGCTGCTGGCCAATGTTGTCCTCACTGTAAAGTATAACTGGTGGCCAATGTTGCCCTCACTGTAAAGTATAGCTGCTGGCCAATGTTGTCCTCACTGTAAAGTATAGCTGCTGGCCAATGTTGTCCTCACTGTAAAGTATAGCTGCTGGCCAATGTTGTCCTCACAGTAAAGTATAGCTGGTGGCCAATGTTGTCCTCACTGTAAAGTATAACTGGTGGCCAATGTTGCCCTCACTGTAAAGTATAGCTGCTGGCCAATGTTGTCCTCACTGTAAAGTATAGCTGCTGGCCAATGTTGTCCTCACCGTAAAGTATAGCTGCTGGCCAATGTTGCCCTCACTGTAAAGTATAACTGGTGGCCAATGTTGTCCTCACTCTAAAGTATAGCTGCTGGCCAATGTTGTCCTCACCGTAAAGTATAGCTGCTGGCCAATGTTGTCCTCACAGTAAAGTATAACTGGTGGCCAATGTTGCCCTGACAGTGAGATCTAGCTCATGATTATGCAAGCAAATACTATCCAGGCAGATTTAATTCTCATAGCTCTAATCAATTTACATTACAGTTATGATTTTTTAAAAATGTCCTTCAAATGTTTTTAGGCTGGCTGATAATTCTATAGATGTACAGAATTTCAATTTTGATATTTTGTTTGTAGTCTAAAGATGAGGATACAGAAAGCACCTCAAGCAAATCGTCCAACAGATCAAACAGGACCAAGAGAACAGCAGTACACATTGAAGCTGATGGAGATGGAGATAATCCTCTCAAGACTCTAGTCAAAGCTGCCCGTCTAATGAATCCCATGCAGTTTGATGTTGGCAAAGAGATTTCCTGTAATAAACCATTGCCAGGTTAGTTTAGCATCTTTGATGAACAACTTGAACAGAGTGGTCCATACATCACTTGAGGGTTTTGCATTTTATGCATTATAAAAAAATGTAAACAATGTGTGAGCAGTAAGAAATGGAGATAAGCCTCCCCTGTCACTTATAGTACAAGAGTGGTGTGCCAGACTGGGGCAATGTGTTTTTAACTTTCTCGTATACGAAGTATAGAGGTAGTATTGTAATTGTGCAAAAAATCAAACTCGTTATTTTCACAAATGTTGACGTTTTACACATCCCTGAGTTGGAAAAACATAGTTTTGCAATTTTGTCCATATATCTGTGTGTGTTTACGAACATAACTTAAGTACTGTTACAGCTAGGTTGATGAAATTTCATACAGAAGTATTGTACCTAATTTGTAGTTCAGTGATTTCCGGTAACCGAAAGTGGAACTTAATTCTACTTTTGGGTTTTCAAAAGCGTATAGCTTGAGTACTGTTTTAGATAAATGCCTCATTGATTAATTTGCTTGACATTATGTAAACCTATTTTTGCTTGTATCAGGCAGTAGCAAGAGAATGTATGGAAAAGCAGCCAAAAATGTGCCCAAAAAACAGGCTCATGAATTGGATAATGGATTGGTACCACTTCCAGCAAAAATGTGTTTTTCCTGTAACAAGTACTTGCATATTTCCATCTTATACTACTTATAGTGAATATTTAAAATATGAGGCGTAAAAATTTTCCATGTTGACCTTAAATGCTGCTAAGTAAATGTGTATGATTTGTTATTAGCAGATATTTTTGTAATTTTAGAAGCTGCAGAGTAGCACCACTTATCCAGTGTGATTATTGTCCTTTGTTGTTCCACTTGGACTGCCTTAATCCCCCGTTGACATCATTGCCCACAGGCAGGTGGATGTGCCCAAACCATGTTGAACATTTTCTGGTAAAACTTAAAAGTTTCTTACATATTTTAAGTCATAAAATCTTTTCAAATGTATTAACGCTCACATCTTTAGGACAGTAATTTAGGTTATAAAATGTATAAGACAGCAGCAAAAATAACCAATTAAAATATAGAACAAACTTTTTTTAAAAAGTGAACAAGATAATTATCCAATTTTCTTTTTTCTTTAGGACTCACACCTGCTTAAAAGTCAGAGTCTCACAGAGCGTTTGCGTCTGTGGGATAGATATACAGGTTTGGTGGATAGTCACACAGTTAAAGTAGACTTCCTTAACAAAATCCATCGCAAGTTCCCAATGTTCAGATTTAGAAGAAAATTACCATCAAGACTCTCAATAAGTGTAAGTGCAAGTATTTATTACTAATGACAACTAAGAAAATGTATTTTTAATCCATAATTTCTTCTGACTGTAAAAATTTTAGCCGTCACATTTTTCTGGGAACCCTTTATATGTTAGTAGGTATTCTTAATGACATTTTTATAATGAAATAAAATAAAATAGACAATTTCCCCTTATAGATTCATTTCATCAAAACAGAAACACCAATTTATTGCTGTATACCAGTAATTAAAAAAGTGATGATTTTTTAAAAACTAACTTTGCTTTTCTATCATAAAAGTAGACAAAAAGTCACTTTAGTCTTTTATTAAAAAAACGAGCTGACCCGCGATGTAGCATACGCCGCTATCTAGTTGTTATATTTTCTACTTATCAATTCATAATTTGTGAATTCGACACTACCCCAACCCCTGCCGGCTCTACTATTGTAAACATTCGGGGTGAACCACAGCTCACCTGACAGGTGGGGATGAGGGTGGTGGCTAAGCTGTGTGGTGTTTTCTATGGTCTCCATGAACAGAAGTATATATATAGATAATTAAAAACTGAACTCAAGCCACGTAAATAATAGCAGTATAATTTAAAAGAAAATTAAAACAATTTAGTATGAAATAAATTCGACAAGGGTAGATCACAATAATTAGAAATTTTTTAAAAATGTAATGCCGTAAGATATCTTGATAAATCTTTACACCTTATTTAGCTTGTTTTTGTTAATATATAATAAACAAATCAAATGGAAAGCAATCATTCTGAAAAATTGTTAACTAACCAGTGGCCTTATAAACACAGAATAGTGAGAATCTAAGCATGTAAGAATTATGATATTACTGAATAATAATTAACATGAGGTCAACAAGTTTCCTACTATTGTATTAAGTATACTATACAGGTACTAGTCTTTAAAAAGCTTTGAAATTCCATAAAATTATTTTAAAAAATCAAAGTAAGACGTTTAGATATACTGAATTTCTTTTTAAGATGTAATCCTAAATGGTATAAATGTTAGACTTCCCTATCGTCCCGCCAAAAGCAGGATTGTTCCGCTAAATTACAAAAAATCATGTCTCATTCCACCATTTCATTTCATCAAAGTTTGTTCAGCTAAAGAAAAAATAAGCAAATATATATAAAATAAATACATATATAATTTATTTTTTTAATTGAAAAAGAGAAGGGTGAAGTTGGATAATTTTTCTTTGGCATTTGTGCTGATTTTCTCTCATCATTACTGTCAATGAATTTGAGGAATATGGTTGTTTTGAAATTAGAACATTTTTTATGCCAACTACAGTATTTCGTGAATTTATGACATCAGACACTAATAGACCAAACCGTAATTAAAAAATTTTTTAGTCCGGGTAATTTTTCTATTTTTACTGACATGTCTTTCTCTAAATATCCACGCACAAACAATAGCATATCACATAGACATGCAAGGCATGAAAACTATAGTTTTAGTTGCTCAGGCATAGAGTTACTCAGCTGCACTATATACCCTTTATGAACGGGTACTTTGAAACATACATTGCTGTCGTGGTTCTACTACACTACAGTAACACACTAAATATGAAAGGACCTACTCAATGTATATAGCCTTGGTTGTCCCTGGTTACGCCACTTTCTTGAGCTATTTAAGGTCAACTAATAAAGGAATAAGGTGTCGCCTAAGATTTTAAACTTCATTATTGTTCAAGATGACTTAACAATTAAAAGCTACATTTATTTACCTTTAATTTGATACTAATTTTATTTATCAAATTTAATCGGTAGCCTAGAAAATGGTTTTTGAAAAAAAACGCGTTTGGTTTTAAATGGCTTTGATGGTATGACTGATTTTCAGTGATACAGTGGGTTAGTTTTTTAAGGAGTGTTGTTGTGACTCGACTGTTCACTGCCGTTCAGCAGAAATGTGTCGTCTGCTAGATTTCTCTCCATTAAAATACACGGCGGGAAAAATGGGCGGGCTTAGTTAGCTGTCTCGATCAAGTTATTTTTTATAGTTTTTGTTTTTACCCTGCATGATTTTTAAAACATTAATGACATTAGTTTAGTAGAAAGCAAGTTACAATTTTCTATAGTTTAGAATATATTTTCAGTATGTTTAGAACAATATTAAATAAATCAATTCACCTTTTGCTTTATTTTATGTTCTGCTCGATATTCTCAGCATTAGACCAAAAAAAATATACAAATGGCAAGCTTGCATTAAACACTTATCATCCATTGTTAAAACTAGACCGGTATCATTGAATAATACGTAAAAATGATTTTAAGTATATATTTCTGAAATGACCATGAAACATTGTTAAAAAACAGAATCACTATATCGTTTTCGGCAGCCATCATTAACATGACGCTGTAAAAAAAAAGTAGGTAAAGAAACAGGCTAATAAAGAGGCATATTTCTCATTTGACCTGTATTTGCCATACACACAAAGCACGTGAACAAATAGTGGTCAGCCGTTGTATATTCTTCCATGCTCAATGCAGCTGCTGTGGGTACTTAATATCACTGCTGTGGGTACTCAGTTATTGTTGATGGTACCCAATGTTTCTGATTTTGGTATTATGTGCTACTACTGTTGTGCTTGAATGATACTGCTATGGATTACCAATAACAGTGCTGTAGCTACATTTTGTCACTGCTATGGGTACTCAGTGCTGAAACAGTAGGTACTGAGTGCTGAAGCTGTGGGTTCTCACTGTTGATGCTGTGGGTACTCAAGTGTTACTGCAGTCGGTTCTTGGTGTCACTGCTGTGGGTACTTATCGCTGGCACTGTTAGTACTCAGTAACATTGCTGTGGGTACTCAGCCTTAGCAGTGGTTACTCAGTATCACTGCTGTGGGTACTTAGTGCTGAATCTGTGAGTGCTCATTGTCACTGATGTTGGTACTCGGTGCTGAAGATGTGGGTACTCAATAACACTGCTGTCGGTACTAAATGCCAGTATAATGCCACTAATGTGGGTACTCAATAGCACTGCAATGGGTACTTTTTTTTTTTGGTACTCAACCTTACTGTATTTATGGGGAGTTTTAGGTCTATGCTCAGTGTTATTATTGTCAAGTGAAGACCTATCTTTGGGGGTAACCAGGATAGTGGTCCACCACATCCTAATAATTTACATTGCTATTTGAAAGCTAAATTCGGTATATTATACCCAGCAGCATGTTCACATCATTCCAATATCGCTCTCTCTCCATATGCCAAGCTCGATGAAACAGGTGCTATACCTGCCTGGAACCAAAGTACTATTTTATGTCTTGTTGCCGGATGCCGTGAAAATGTGACAAAACGTAATCAAAAGATAATTTCCTAAATTATTCTTATAGGCGATTTATACTGTTTGTAAAGAGTGAATAATAAACCTATTAGTTTTTTTGTAGTATAAACGGACCACCTATTTAGTAATAAAAATCAATTTAAGTAGGCTGAATTCACCAAGTCAAAAAATTTACGATGCGAGTGAGTCAAGAGAGTGTGACGTCATAAATTTTGACTTAACAACATTGTCCATTGGTACCGTAACAGCCTTCTGGATGTACCCAATTCACAACAACTATTAGCAGTAGTATAAGTGAACCTATGCGCATACGCTAAGCACAAAATCTGTATGTCTCGTTTTAGCGACATTCAGCGTTTAGGGGTTAAACATGAAATGTTTATTATACTTAAACCTCTTGTTCAATTTTGTCTACACATTAGCTATGAATTTTTGTGAAGTTATGTAAACATTCATGTCAATTACTCATAACTAACTCATGAGATTTTCTTCTAATTTTAACCAATATAACCAACTCATAAGATGTTAATAGCAAGTTAAAAAAATAGATTACCAGGAGTTTTAAAATGTTCATGTTAACCCCTCATGAATACAAGCTAGAAAAAAATTAAACTAAACAAATATCCAGGCTGGGGAAGTCCTTGTTGGGTTGTATTGTAATAGATAGTAAACTGGCAGCACATTTGTTTCTCTAAACTTGTAACAGACCCTTTCATCAACCCATAGTTTGAAAAAAAGCCTGAACAAGATCAATTTATTTGCATTTTAAGGTCATAGGGGGACCATGGTTGACTTTTTCATAATTCTTTGCCATCTTTTTAATCTTAGTAATTCTGCATCTGGCAGACTAGTTCATTCCTTGATATCATCAATCCAATTTCCTCCTTGCACCTTCCTGTCACCATGCCTTTCATGGTAGTCTGAACAGCTGTTGAATCAGGTCTTCTGAGTTATTTTGCCTTGACAATACTTTCTTCATGTTTTCAAAAAGACAAATCACATTGGTGATTCTTTCACGGACCTCTATTTGTTAATAAAATGGAAAGAGCTCTAGCAGACAACATATTTGTGCTGAACAGTTCGTGTCATAACACTCCTTAAAAATTATCCCATCGTAATAGTTATAGCATTGTAGCCATTTTTAAAAAAATACATTTTTCAAAAAGTGTTTTCTATGTATCAAATTAAAAGGTAAATAAATATAGTTTTTAATATCACGGCAAACAATAATGAAGTTATCTTGGCAACATTCTTCTGATATCCATGCCATATGCTGATGTTCTTCCAGTCGGTCTACTCATTCTCTCAACTTGTCTCTTACTGCCTACTATGGCATCTACATCATCAGCAAAGCATAGCTTTAATATGTCTGCCAATGCTGACTGAGCCAGCAGGGTCAGCTAAGGCATGTCAGTCATGATCCTTTCTTGGTAAGTGTTGAAAAGCATGGGAGAGAGATTATGGTAGGGAGCTGGGGGATCCATTCTTTCACAGCCTGAAGGTTCACATGTTATTTCTCAACACTGAATAAAGTAGATAAAAATCTCTTGTATCAAGATTAGTCATAAAAACATTGCAACATGGCGGAACAAATGGGATGTAGAGCCGGAATCCAATCAGAATTGAATAGTTTTACAAATCCTGCAACCAGTTGTATGGTCCTGGCCACTTAAAATTTTTTGTTTCAGGTTCCACTGGCTATCAAAGAGTTTTATCAACATCCCACTGTGCTACTGCCCGACCCTGCACGCCCCTGCCCTCTCACTAGCACTGGTTCCCACCTGACTCATGGAATGGCAACTCTAGAAGAGCAAGAAGAGGTAACTTTTTTTCTGCTAGTTTTTGGTGGAGCAGCATGGAAGAAGGAATTGATTGTTCATTGAATTAACTTGATTCAACTGACCTTTATTTTCAGTGGCTATCAAGTGTGGTATCCATGCAAGCGAGCATAGCAAAATATTTAGCTCAAAAACAAATAGAAAAAACAGCTGATGGGACTAGAAGTTGTGAGGTGACTACAATGAATAGTAAGCCTACAGCATCTGTGGCACCTGTTGTACACAAAGAGGTTGAACAGGAAACTGTAAACAGTGATCTTTTTCTAGAATTAGCTGACTGTGATAGAAGCAAACAGCAGATATATAATGGGGAACTTACTAGTAACAGTCCCAATACTGTTGCAGACAAAAACAGTTCCTTGTCACCATGGCCACCTGAAAACCTAACAGGAGGTGTGGTCTCTTTGTTGCCTAATAACATAAGGCATAGCTTTGTGTCCAGTCCTAAAGGAGATGCAGACAGCATTGAGTCATCGAATGGCAGGCAACTGGAGGAGATGGGAGTTAGAGCTCGAAGTAACAGTGCAGATTCAATCCCCTCTCCCTCATCACCAGCTCTGGGCAGGCCACTCTGGATGGCTGGAGACAATTTCATTGGGGATTGCAGCAGTAAAAACTCTGGCAGCAAAAATATTGTTATCAATGCTATCAAAAACAGTGGTGTTGTGACAAAAGTTTTGCCTGGTAAACCACAACCAGCAAAGGTATTTAAAATAGTTCATTACTAAAGTAGTTGGTGTGTCATTACTTCACTGTTATACCAATAATGAATTCTTTGTGGTCTTAAAATTTTGGCTTATGTTAGTAAGTGATCAATCCTTTTTTTTTAAAAAAAAGTATTCAACTAACCTTTCTAGTACTGGCACAATTTCATTGTTTGAAATTATTTCTGCTCATCTTGAAATAGCCATATGCTCTTTCACCAGGTAATATTTCCAAATAACAAAGTACCCTTCCCTAGCAGCAATAGTAATAATGGAAATGAACGTGTGATTGTTCAGTCATCTAATAAAATACAGACTACAACACCAAAAGTCATTAGCGTTGCTTCATCATCAAGTAAGTGACAAAGTCCAATCCATTTCAACATGAGTAGTACATTTGCTAACCAATCTCTCATTTATTGTCAATGATTTCCATCATTTGACTAACCATGCAGGCCGTCAAGCTAACAGTGCACCTATTTCTCAAAAAGCTGGTCATTTCAATAACATCATTGGTTCTTCACCAACACTAGCCAACTTAAATAGTATGCTTCAGCAGTGGATTGAGGGGAACACTGGTTAGTTTTCATCCATTTTTTTTTCATTTAGTAAGGAATAGAGAACAATAATGATTCTTTTTTATTTTATAATTATTAAAACAAAATACATTTTATGTTCTAAATGTATTGTATTGATGTTAAATGATTTCAACAAATTTCAGTTGATGGTGAATTTTCTAAACTAGATGAACAGCTGACTCAAATTTTGGCTTGGCAGCGACTTCAACAGCTAATGCCATCCAGGTCACCACCGACATCCACTTCTTGTCCTGTAACAACTTCCACCACTCCAACCAATACTAAAAAAGGATTATTAAATGTGTATTTAGCTCAACAATGTAGGTTAGATTTGAACACAAACTTTTTATTAACATTAGACTATTTGTTTATCCTAAAAGGTTGTCTTTTAATAGGCTCTATAGGGGTTGGCTTTGTCTGGCCAGTAAAGCTCATAGTTGCTGAACTGTCCAGGTGATGATAGCTCAAGATGGCAATTTCAAAATCAAACAACTGCTGCCTTGTAGTTGGTTCTTGTATGGACAAAAGCTATAGAAGCAAATCAAGAAAGAAAAACAATGGCAATATGAGACATAACATGCTATTTAATTGTATTGGAGAAAATCCTTTCCAACAAAACAATTTAGAACAAAATAGAATAGATGCTTTCAACAGCTTTAAGAAATTTCTTTTATGAGCCTGTTTACTATTAGTTTTTTCTCAAACATAAATACTTTGAACAGTATCATTGGCAGTTTAAAGTTTTACAATATCATGTTGTCAAACATTTTTAAAGAGAGAAATCTTTTGTAACAAAAAAAATTCCTGCATTGAATTTTTAACAAACTTTTAGTAAGTTGGTGGGTTTGTCGTAAATCTTGTAGCTTAATTTTGACACACTTCTGTTGCAGTGTTTTCTTTCAAACTTTCCAGATACTTTCCACTTTGATGACAAAACAAATCTATTTGTTAATTTAATTAGGTGTTTGAAAAAATTAAATCACTCGATAGATAACTAATTACTCTTTTCAATAACAGAAGGGCCGATAGCTAGCTACACTTTATCAGCCGACCACTCTGGTTAGTCATGGTTCACAAGAATGTTTACGATTGTAGAGCCAGTCGATCTAGTGAAGACTATTAGGGGCAGATAAGTTTTTTAAATGATTTAAAACTAAGGGGAGGTAAAAAGTTCTGCTTGATCTGGTTGTGGTCTGTAAAATATGGTCATAGACAACTACTTTTCAAAGAGCAAACAATAGTCTTTTAGATATAGCGAGCAACTGATGGAGTTTTAAAGCAAATAATTTTAGTTGTCATCTATTAGGAATCACTAAATAGTAGAAAATAAAACAAACATAAAAAACCTTTTTAGCAACAATCTTTTATGCTCTGAAAATAAGAAAATATAACTAATTTACTTGATTTAATTTGGTCACTCATGAGATGTTTTACATATTTTAGTGACAAAAGCTTTTATTAAAGAAATTAAATTGGTTTTATTTTCTTATTTTCAGTGCATAAAAAGCTTGTTGCTTAAAAAAAAGTTTTTCTTATGTTTAAATTCACTTTTTTCCAAGATTTACAAATTTAAAAGTTGTTTTTCTGTGCCTAGAAATAGTCTGTTTTTTTTTTTTTAAATTTAAGTACAAAAAAATGTGCTAATATTCTAAATCTGGCATCTCCGGCTCCCCCGCTCTCCTCCCCCCCTGAACGAAATGAAAATTTATACAGAAAATATATATTTTACCAGTGTTCCTCAGAAAAGCAATGATTACACACATTTATTATTCTAAATTTTCATAAAAAATTATATTAGTTTTAGACCTTACCTTTATTATCTAAATTCTAAAAACTAACCAGGCAAGTTATAAAATATCTTTCTTGTTCTATATTGGGTGAATGTGATGCTAATTTGATGTTTTCTGCTACCAACTTTGGATCAACTTTTGTACAGGCACGTCAGAAGTTCGGTCTAGGGCAGTTTTATGTCCCCTGTCCGGCAAGGGTCAAGCCATTCCAATGCCATACAGGTCTTTGAGTCTTGGAACAGGTACATTATAAGGTTTACCTAAATTGTTCCATTCATTTTTTATGAGGATATATTAAAACCACAATTGTTCACTCATTTTAAAGAGATTTAGTTTGCTAGAGATTTTTTTCTGGTTTGTATAGTTTGATCTGTTGATGCTGTTATCTATGTAGTGATGCTGTGTTGGTCTGTATAGTTTGATCTGTTGATGCTGTCATCTATGTAGTGATGATCTGTTGATGCTGTTATCTATGTAGTGATGATCTGTTGATGCTGTTATCTATGTAGTGATGATCTGTTGGTGCTGTTATCTATGTAGTGATGATCTGTTGATGCTGTTATCTATGTAGTGATGATCTGTAGATGCTGTTATCTATGTAGTGATGCTCTGTTGGTCTGTATAGTTTGATCTGTTGATGCTGTTATCTATGTAGTGATGATCTGTTAATGCTGTTATCTATGTAGTGATGATCTGTTGATGCTGTTATCTATGTAGTGATGATCTGTTGATGCTGTTATCTATGTAGTGATGATGTGTTGGTCTGTATAGTTTGATCTGTTGATGCTGTTATCTGTGTAGTGATGATGTGATGATCTGTTGATGCTGTTATCTATGTAGTGATGATGTGTTGGTCTGTATAGTTTGATCTGTTGATGCTGTTATCTGTGTAGTGATGATGTGATGATCTGTTGATGCTGTTATCTATGTAGTGATGATCTGTTGATGCTGTTATCTATGTAGTGATGCTGTGTTGGTCTGTATAGTTTGATCTGTTGATGCTGTTATCTATGTAGTGATGATGTGATGATCTGTTTATCACTTTAATGGTGTGTTTGACAGGGGCTGATATGGATGTCTGTCTAAGTCAGTATGGACAGTGTAATTTTATATCAGGTCATCATGCAACAATATTTTATGATGAGGTAAGCATGTTTGATTTATGGAATGCCTAAGTTCTTGTCATGGTCTGTTTTAAGTTAACCTTCCTTATTTAGAGATGTAACTTTTCCCCTTTTTTTCCCAGAAATCCGCTTTTTCTGGTTAAAAAAAATATATATATATATATATATCTCTTTCCTCTTCCCCTTCTCCCCCCCCCCCCCCCCCCATTTTAAGTTAAGTGCTAGATTTTTTTTTTTTTTTAAACAAGTCTACATTGTCTTAGGTTTAACACAAAATGACGAAACTCCACTATTAATTGGTTGTACAATCTATTAAATCCTAGTTATAATGGTTTTTAAATGTGTTAAAAATATGAAATATCATGAATTGTTTGCAAAAATTTTAATTATTGCACTTTCTCTCCCCCTCTCTACACCCCCCCCCCCCCCCCTGTAAAAAATCATTTCTGCTTTTTTTCTTTGGCGGTTGGTTACATCTGTGCTTATGTTAGTTTTATAGATATTACCTGTTGGATCTTAAAAGTAGAGTTTGATTGAAAATGATCTTGTAGTATTTGGGCCTGGCCATTGATGCTAAATTTGTGGGTGGAAAGTGTGGATGGCAACTACTCCATTTAAAGCAACATGTTGCCTGCTGCTGGGCTAGGTTGGAAGCTGCTGCTATTACTAATGATAGTCTAAAAATGTTTTCAGATGAGTCGCCATTTTGAACTTCTGAACTACAGTGAACATGGTACAACTGTTGATAATGTGCTCTTCTCATGTGACTTCTCTGACAAGCCTGCCACCACGCCACAGTTGAGTCCAGTCATCTCTGCTGTTAGAGAGATGATCAGTAAAGATGGACGCAGAAATGGAACCAAGAGCAGTAAACATGGAGAAGACAAATTGAGAATGTCAGCCAAAGCTAATGGGGTGTGTATGCCTAGTGCAAGTTTAATTTGAGAGAAGGTAAACCAACCAGTCTCTTGTTAATGTGAGCCTTCTTGCTATTGCAGAGGTGTAGTGTTTGCAGCTGTAAAGCAAGTAGCTCAAGTCTTATAGGTGGCAGTGGTGCAGGCTGGGAAGGTACAGCTCTACTACACCATGGCAGCTACATCAAAGTGGGTTGCTTGCAGTTTGTTTTCAGCATTGTTGATCATGCCCCAGACCAGCACATCCAGCAGTCAACAGAATCATCCTTGTCAATGAGCAGGTTTTCATCTATGCCTTTGTTGTCAACATCCCAGTACCTACACAATCAGCCAAGCTTGTCTTTACTTAAAACTCAACTCAAATCTTCTGCACCTGCTTAGTTCTGCTTGGATGGAATGTACATTATGTATAAAAAAAAATCTATGATACCATATACAATCAATAAAAGCATCTAAAAATCAAACTTACAAGAACATGTCAGGTGCTGAATCCAACATGAAGTTCCAGGGATAGTAACAGCTGGATTCTGTGAATCTTTTCATACTTATCTACAGGGACAATTGTTTCCAGGTTTCCTGTTGAAATCCTACTTGACGAGTGTTTTCTAGCCCAGGTTTCTTTTTTGAGCTACCTATGACAATTATTTTGCAATCTTGTCATGAAATGATTGAAATAAGTTATGAACAATTTGTTTGTGGTCAATAAATGGTCATACTTAATTGGTTGATAGCTGAATCCTACATCTGAATGTTTCTATTGTTAGACTGTGATGCTTGTATGATAGTAAATAATGCTACCATTGGGGATGAAATAAAAACTTAACACTTAGCTATAAACTACTTAATGAACTATTTTATTTTTTTAATTAGTTAGACCCTTACCTTTTATCCAATTGTTTTCACCCATCTCCAAAAAAGTAGTTAATCTTCATGAATGATGCTTATGTTTAAAAAATGTTGACAACAGGCAGCTAATAACTTCATTGACCGAGCAATCATCAGGTCATTGTCAAATGATAACTCTAGTCACTTATTCCCTAGCAAATATTATCCACTAGTTACTGTTAGTAACAATTGTGTACTGTAAGGTTCTCTTTTTACTGGGAAGAAAAATATCTCATTGCCCACTGCTTAGGTTGTTTAACACTTTACAGGGGTAGATGCTAGAGCACGGGTTCCCAACCTGGGGGTCGCGACCCCCCTGGGGGTCGCGAAGGGCTTTCCGGGGGGTCGCCAACTGGTATACTAAACCTTAGTAATTTGAAACAAAACATAAATATTTAGAAGAATTTTTTAAATTCGGCTTTACTAACATCACTGGAAAGGGAATAGAGAAGAAGCAAAGCGTACTGTCTAAAGTTTTTCTCAGTCACGAGTTTATGAAATCTTCAAAACTAAAACGTCATTTGAAACGAGTCATTCGAAACACACCAAAAAAAGATATGGAGTTCTTTCGTCGGTATGAAGCTAGTTGCAAACGTCAGAGACTTGATCGAACAGGAAGTTTTCACCAAGGAAACATAGCATTAGTGCAAGCATCACATGAAGTCGCGACAGAAAATGCCAAGCAAAAAAAAAAAAAAAAAACACAATAGGAGAAAATCTCATCAAACGCTGCATGTTGAAGATGGTGAAGTTAATTCTTACATGTCCGTAGATGTTAAATAACACATTTTGATTGAAATTAAGCTTTCACCATTTTTTGCTTTTCAAGTTGATAAATCAACAGACGTGAGTTCGTGTTCGCAGTTGCTGGTCTTTGTCTATATTCATTCAGATGATAGCAAAGAAGAGTTGTTCTTTTGTGAAGATAGCATGGAGAAAATAAATAGTTTTTTTTTTTTTAAATTGGATGATTAAAATGGGTTAAAACGGCTGTGAGGGTTTGTACGGATAGTGCATCATCTATGTTTAGGTCAAAATCGAGCTTTCAGAAAGCAGAAAAGATTTAGCTCCCTAACCACTGCCCTCACCAATCGCCATCAAGACTCCATTGCTAGTATAAGTGGTAAATTATATACAATCTGGAGCCTTCAAAGTACTGAGTAAAGACCTGAATAAAGATCACGAGGTTCTGCAGTGCGCTGCTGTCAAACGAATTGTTGTGAATCGTGTTTTTGAATTGAAATCTGAAATCAAATTGTTCTTGGAAATGCAAAGGAAACAAGACCTTTTGGTATACTTAAAACGACATAGAGTGATTGGAGAGAGTATCAAACCTAGCAGATGTGTTCGAACATCAAGATAAGCATAACCTGAAGCTTCAGGGAAAATGAACGAATATTATAACTTTCCATGATAATCTCGGGGCATTTTTATCAAAGCTGCAAAATCGGCGAAAAAAATAAATCTTGGAAATATTGTAAATTTGAGAAACTCTGCAGTGTGGTAGATGAATCTAATTGTTAGATAATTAAAATTTTGAAAGAAGAAATTTCTGGGCATCTTGAATCAAGTGAAAACGAACTGCAGCGCTATTTCTCTGAGCTGAAAAAAAAAGGATTGACGCATTATCCATTCTCTTCTTCCTGCATTCACGATGAATTACAAGATGAATTCTTTGATTTGTAGAATGATTCCGCGTAAGATAAAAAACTGCACACTCAATTTTGGTGTAGTATTCATCATTCATACCCAAACGTAAAATTGATTGACTTTTCGAGAATAGATTTTCAACACTATTTTTCGATTAAAAACAAAATTAAGATAATGATAATGACATAGGTTGGCGTTAACAAAAAATGTTTTAAAAACTTAACCACGAATGTTTAGTGAATAGTATGCAATTTTACTCATGGTATTAAAACAGTTATCAAGAGTAGTTCATATTGAAAGTCTTCTAGAAAATGTTATTTTAGTGCTTATTGATTTCCATAATAATTTCGGCTTTTTAATTCGATGGGGGTCGCGGGTCACTTAATTTTTATAAAAGGGGGTCGCCACTCGAAAAAGGTTGGGAACCACTGTGCTAGAGGAAGTGGTAATTTATTCAAAGTAATTAATTATGACAATGTGGACATAAAAGTTGATGCAAACTGCAGTGTTCAGATCGTGATTTCCTGGCAAAAAAATTGGCCATAGTAGTTATATTAATTTACATGAATTAAATGTACATATAGTATATAGCACATCTCTGTAAGATCAATTGTAGATAGTATACCATGATGTTTAATGTATGCATTGCACAAAGGTTTTGTTTATGGATTAAAGTATAGCCAAATGTTTGTAACTTAATTCCATTAAAAGTTTGTTAGTCAAGTCAAAGTGATAGACATTCCATCATGCACAACATTTGTACTACTTGTAATTTATAGAAACAACATATTATATATTATCTACATACATACAACATTGAAAAAGCATTATACATTGATAATAGTATTAATAGTCCAAGTTTATTATATGAGGTTAAATAGCTTAGCTCAATACAGAGGTATGGGGGGGGGTGGATACATATGTCCCCTATGGGTGTCAAAATGGGTTTAGAAATATTAAAAGCTCATTTTAGCTGCAGTTTTGAATTAACAAAAAATGGGGGGGGGGGGTGTCAAATTGAAAGTTTGTCCCCAGTCGCTTGGAGGGATCACTATGCCTTAAATGACAAATAGAACCCTGTATTAATCCGTGAAAAACATCTGGAAATTACAGCCTTTATTTACATGGTCTTAATAAATTGTATTGGAAAAAAATCATGTAAAATATAAAGCACTGTCATACAAAGAAATCAATCCTATCTATATTTAGACCAACCGAATACATGGAATAAAAGAATCAAAAGAAATGACTCCAAAGTGAAGTATATAACAATACCCCTCAGGTCTATTCTGCCCTACTTGACCAAGTCCCCACTACTTCCTCCTATCAACTGACCAAGTCCCCACTACTTCCTCCTATCAACTGACCAAGTCCCCACTACTTCCTCCTATCAACTGACCAAGTCCCCACTACTTCCTCCTATCAACTGACCAAGTCCTCACTACTTCCTCCTATCAACTGACCAAGTCCCCACTACTTCCTCCTATCAACTGACCAAGTCCTCACTACTTCCTCCTATCAACTGACCAAGTCCCCACTACTTCCTCCTATCAACTGACCAAGTCCTCACTACTTCCTCCTATCAACTGACCAAGTCCCCACTACTTCCTCCCATCAACTGACCAAGTCCTCACTACTTCCTCCTATCAACTGACCAAGTCCCCACTACTTCCTCCTATCATCTGACCAAGTCCCCACTACTTCCTCCTATCAACTGACCAAGTCCTCACTACTTCGGACTTCCTCCTATCAACTTAGTTCTTTAATTATTACCACCTCCCATGCTTTAATTACTGGGAAGCTGCAATGTAGTACTAGTAGCCCTTAACCCACCAACTGGTTCAAATGGATCTTGTTGTGTGGAGTTTGCCATAAATATATAAAACGGCACATAGTACCTTAACCCATCAATAGGCTTGAAAAGTCTGATATCAAACTAAAAATACTAAAATAATTTTGCAATCTTGTCCTTATGTCTGTGTGTGTGTGTGTCTGTAAACACGATAACTTGAGTACCATTACAGCTAGGTTGATGAAATTTCATATATAAGTATATTATTAAAATCGGAGATCCGTATTAACTTTTGAGCGATTTCCGATAACCGGAAGTGGTACTTTTTCTACTTTGAATTTTTCAAAAGCCTATAACTTGAGTACTATTTCAGATAGATAAATGAAATTTTACAAGTAAGTAAAATATCTAATTCTCTACCTTCTGTCAAATTTTGAGTAATTTCTGTTGACCGGAAGTAGTAATTTACGCTATTTCCGATTTCTCAAAAAAAAAAACCGCATGTGAATTTATAAAGTACTAATAATATTGCGCACTATTGTGCACATTTTTTGGTGTGCAATTCTTTTTTCAACGAGATTTTATTCTACTGTAAAAAGTTTAAGTATTTAAAATGGATTAAAAATCATGTCTATAGCCCGAGTCCCATCCCCCTGTTGTTTATATAAGAATATTTGATAAAGTTTAGGGGGGATCACTCCCGGTTTATTTAAAATTTAAAGTACTGAAAAAAAAGCATGAATTTGAATTGATAAAGTGCAATACTTTAAATACTGCCTTTTTTATTTATTTTATACACTGAACGTACTGTTTACTAATTATTAATCAACTTTCCGTTTGCTAACAAACTGGGTTTTTTATAGTCATTCACTGAATCAGGCGCGTCAGCCAGCGCTTGTACGGGGTGCGATGTGGCGCCACGGGCTAAACTGTGGGTGAACGGGGAAAAAAATCACAGGAGAAAAAAAAAACAGAAAAAAAAGTCAGTTTTTGCTAGGAAAAAAAAACGATGGAAAAATTTTATCGGAAAAAAAGTCACAGAAAAAAAGTCACACAAATCTGTTTAGAAATATTTTGATTTATTTGTTAATAATTGTAAAATTGTGTTAATTGTTGTGGGTTGTATTTTTCGATAGCATAAATTATTTATAGACGTTAAAAGCATTATGGTTTATAAAAATTGTAAATAAAAATACTCTAAGATAAGTTACACAACAATCTCAATTTGTTACGTATTTAGTTAAATACGCGGTAGAAAAGTTAACTATAAAAGATATTTAGGCACATCATTGTGTTTTGCAGTAGGCTATTCTCTGGTCGGCCTCCCCTTAGTAGGCATTGTCCGAACATAGTGTTGTTGACGTTTTGTGTCAATGACAGCCTTTGAACCTTGTCGGCTCT